TCACAAGTGCTCGACCACTTCTTCCTATATGAACACTCCTCGAATGAACCATTTAGTGTCCTCAGAGCCTTGTACTCGTCTTCAACTTCTCCCCACATCAAGCAAGCCGCCAAAAAGACCCGGAATCCCAGTGAAAGGTCTATGAAAAGTGATACTCCCCATGGTGTATCACCATACGTCGAAACAACCGACGGTAAGGGAGAGAAACTGGGCGGCCAAACGAGCTTGGAAAATCGATTTACGAGGGACCCCGGCCGGAAGCGTGCTTTACGACGGACAGGGGGACTCCCCCGTCGGGGTCGCGGTCCACGCGCTCTCCCATAACTTCGCTCCATCGCGTAATTGCTTTATTAGGAACTCATTTGCAGGGCCCCGCAAATGGTCCGCGATGCCGAAATGCTCGACGCGTCGAATTAAACCCGACCAATCGAACCCCGGAGGAGAGTATCTCGCCCGCGCATGTTCGACCAGTTCGTTTGCGGTTCACTCTCGGGGTGTTCCACTTACCGTCCCGTTCCTCGAAACACAGAGACTGCGAACGTCACGACACCTAATTATCATCGATTACAACCTCCACGATTTTCTCTCGAATTTACCCCAACTGGGGGATCCACCCAGTATTCACAAGCTCTTTATTAATTAAATACATGAGATTTTTACAATATTTACTGCATCCTTCAGACCACCAAAGTACATTTTACAATAAAAATTGAATGCATTTGATTTTGAAGTGCACAAAACTTCAACGTTCCTTGAAATAACTGTAATTCTCGATGAAAATACTGTTTTACTTTGATTTTAACGTGTTTTTAGGGTTCAAAAGCGACCTCATAACACCGAATATAGCATCTTGCGTAACAATTGGACGCGTTTGTGGATTCTAGAGGCAAAGATGGGTGGTCCATCGAGGTGAAAAGTTAAGTCGTTCGTCGAGAATCGCGGGGGGGACTCCCCGGTAGGAAATCTCATCGCGTCCACCGGGCATGTAAAAACTTGGAAACTGGCCACCGGAGATGTACGGTAAAAAATTTCGGTCTGACTGTCCGCGTCTGCCAGTTTTTAACGCCCCCCTGAACAATTTCCGGGACCGAGGGGATTCCCAGCACGTACCCCGCCAGGGGGCAGTCGCTTAGGAGAAACATTAAAAATCGCCCTGCAGCGATACCCGTCGCGTCGGTTTCCTTTTTTTTTTTAAATCGCCTGGTACTTGGCCGGGTGCCAGCCTCGACTCTTAATTAAGATCTCGAATAAAAGCCACTCTGTTCGCAGTCAAAGCGCCCTTGATACGACTTTAAAGCGACCCACGTCATATTTGGGGGGTTGAAAACGTGTAATGTAATATTTTTTTTTAAAACAATTGTTACTTGATTAAGATCTCGAATAAAAGTCAGTCTGTTGGTAGTCAAAGCGTCCTTGATATGATTTTAAAACGACCCCCATCATATTTGAGGGGTTGTAAAAACTTGAAATATAATATTTTTTAAAAAATTATTAGATTATTTTTTTTTAAACAATTGTTACTTGATTAAGATCTCGAATAAAAGTCATATTTGTGTGTGTGTGTGTGTGTGGGGAGGGTAAAAACGTGTAATGAAATATTTTTAAAAAAATTATTAGATTATTTTTTGACGTCATATTGGGGGATGGAAAAATGTATAAATATTTTTTGTGAAACAATTGTTGTAAAAAAAGAAAAAAAATCGAATGAGTTGAAAGGGGAATTTAACAACGCGTTTCTGGCGTTTCTTGCACACGTCTGTCGTAACTGAATATCCAGCAGCGCGCCAGGGGGTGTTCGATAACGTTGGAAAATCAATTCGAGCCCGGTCGGGCAAGCGATCGACAAAAATCGTTCGACCGTTTCCGTGACTCGCGAAAAAAGGAACGAGACGCGCGAAGTGCGTGGAGGCTACGGGGTTCCGGATCGCGGGCCGAACAATAACGCGATATCCGGCGCAGCTATTTGATTAAAACGGGTCAACGGAGCCGATACATCCGTGAATTCGATTGGAACTCGTTTCGGCCTCTTTGCGATCTACGAGTCATCCAATTACGAGGTTGAAAGAAATCGTACCACCCCCTGCAGGGGGTTGGTGATTTCTTGGAGAAACCACCCTTCCAACTTTTGTAATTTTTTTGATGATTCTTTCTTTTCAAATTGTGACTTCAAAAGGGGGTGAGAAATTTCAAAAATGGAAACCCGATATAATAGTAGTAATACGCAGAAAAATTTTAATGAGGGTTCTAGAGGCCAAAATAAGACGAAAGTAAAGAATAGGGATTTGTTGAATGAGGCTTAGTTAAAAAGTTATTAATGTTTAAAGAATTACAAATTTTTTGGCGAAATTAAAAAATTTTGAATCGTTCTGGAAAAATTATTTCTGGTTGCAGGGGTCGATTATAAACATTTTTGGTGAATACACATATCCTCGAAATTCTACGCAGTTTCGAGAAAAAAATTCTTTACCGGAATGTCTGACCATACCGTTAATTCATTCCCCTGAAAATTCATGCGAATCTTTAAAACGTCCTAACTTCTGAACGGATTGGACGATTTTAATGTTTGAACAGGCAATCAACGCGTATTTTAGTGGAGAATATGTAGAAATTACAAAAAAATTCGAAAAGTTATTTCTCAACCCTGTAAACTTAGAAAAACTCCCTAAAAGTGGGTCAATTTTCAAACAACCATAACTCCTATAATAGTGAATATATTTCAATGAAATTTTGTTCTGAAGTAAAGCTCATGGGTACCTACAAAAAAGTACTAAACAAAATTTTCGTACAGCGTCAAACAAATTTATTAAAAATAAGAAACGAATCTCCAAGAAAACCGACAGGGGGTAAGTCCCTAAATTTTTCGACGAAAAGCTGAAATTTCAAATCGGTCTAAAAAAATTATTTTTAGCTAGGGGAGTCAATTACACTCATTTTTGGTCAATAGACATAACCCCGAAATCCTACCCACTTTCGAGAAAAAAATTCCTTACTTAAAATATACTTTCAGGCAGAAATATCGCCCATAAATTTCATGCGTATCTTTAAAACACCATAACTTCTGAACGGATCGAAGGATTTTAATGTTTGAAGTGGCAAACGACGTGTATTTTGGGCAAGTATATGTAGAAATTATAAAAATATTGGAAAAGTTGTTCCTTTACCCCGTAAAGTTAGGAAAACCCCACAAATATGCCCCAATTTTCACACAGCCATAACTCCTATAATAGTGAATATATTTCAATGAAATTTTTTTTTTAAGTAGACCCCTTGGATACCTACAAAAAAGTATTGGACAACTTTTCCGTAACGCGTCAAACAAAAGTATTAAAAATAAAAAACTAATTTTCAAGAGAAATCGACAGGGGGTAGGTGCCTAAATTTTTCGACGAAAAAAAAAAATTTCCAACCGTTCTAAAAAAATTATTTTCAGCTAAGAGGGTTAATTACAACAATTTTCGGTAAACAGACACACCCCCGAAATCCATCTCAGTTTCGAGAAAAAAATTCGAGAGTCTCCAGAATCTTATCAAAATATTTCCTCAAGGCTGCCTGAACACCCGGTACATTAATTACTCTCCCGCAATATCTATGAATAAGTACTAAAAATTATTGAATAATTCAACGCGCTGGCCAAACCTCTCGAAACATCCATATCTTGAGAATAAATTTCTCGAGTGACGTTGCAGTCGACGCGTTAACGATCGCTTTTTTTTCGCGGAGAACCAGCCACGCGAACGCGGAATTAATCGACGTGCATTATTCCACGGCGTCAAAACAAGGATTTCAAACGTCATAACGCCCCCCTCACCCCTCGATACGTCGCGAGGGGGACCCACATAGCTCGTGGATTGACGTATCCCGGGTATTTTAAAATCGCGCGACCGTATCGTCCAACGCGAATTTCGAGGTTCGTTCGCCAGGAAACGCACGTTAAACCGCGAGATGCAAATTACCCCCTCCCCCCACTTCGCGTTTCGTTCGTGAAATTTTTGCCCCCGGATCGATATCGAAGGGGTGGATTTTGCTTTCTACGACACTTTTGGGGGGGTTCGAGAAAAAAAAAGAAGGAAAGGTGGGGGGTAGAGGCAGATTGGCCAACGAGACGGCAATTCGAACCTCGCGATCCCTCCATCAAATTGCAAATCGGTCGGCGCTTAATCGCAAATTGGAAATCGCCGCGGGAGCCTCGTACGAGCCACGCAAAATGTCACCCACTCCAGGCTAGAGTCCATCGATGCGTCGCGACGCCCTGGGCGTATGCAAAACACGCGCGATCCTCGAATTTTCGACTAAGAAAAATAGAGATGTTTCTGCCGGTTCCACCACACCTGATAACAGTTCTCTGTTTGCGTAACTCGAATATTGTTTCTTCCTGCACCGGGGAATATATCGTTGCAACGATCCTGGTCTCTATTTACTCGTATTTACCTACCTGGAGTAGATCGAAAAATAAAATAAATTTTTAAATTAAATATAAATTCTTAACTCTTCGTGTAAACTGTAGTTCGCAGTGTTTAATCGAGATTATTTTAAAGGGGGTTCCCTCGTCGAAAAATTGAAAGAGGGAAACGAAAAGTTGATAGGCTGCACGCACTTCCTGCGCGCCCGAGCACGCAGCCGTTTTGACGCGACTAAAATCGACGCTGCACACGCGAGACTTTCATTTTTTGTGTGTTTTTTTTACGTTTTATCGTGCCTCAGCGGCAAATCAGGAGGCCCGTGATATCCTGGGTACCACCTCCAGAGGTTAAACTTGTGTTTTCCGGTCCTCGAGTTCCTAAATAGGAGGAGGCGTCTGAGGGAAACGCGGATGAGTAATTTGATAACGCGTTATGTATCAGGTCGCGACGAACGTCTAAATGGGGGATGGCTGAAAGGACCGGGCGTCAATAAAGTCGCAGAGAGGCAGAGAGGCCCTCCCCCCCCGGGTAAAATAAGATCAGAATTGATGGGAATCCAAGGGACGAGAGAGGAGTCGTCGCTATTTGCAATTTACTCACCTTGACGCGCAGAAGGTGCTGCAGACTTTGAGCCTGGCTGCTATTTAGAGGTGGATTGTCAGTCCCGAGACGCGCCACTGCAATCACGTTTTCTCGGGTCGCGTTGTACAAGAAGAGCGTGCACACTGTCTGCAAATAAAAAGAAAAAGAACGTCCGTGGAGAAGTCTCGTACCGTCATCCAACGCTATCTCGCGTTATTAAGTTTCGCCTGTCGCGTACGTTTTATATTCGATTTGCGTGCGCCCCGTAGTCGCGAGGACTCGAATCGAGTTAAGTCAGTAAATTACCCGACGAAAAACTAGCGACGAAACTTCGTTACGGGGCCCTTAATCGTTCCGGGTAACGTAGTTTACCTGATTGTTAACTTCTTCTCTCATGAAGTTATCGAGGGACGACACCGCGTCCAGGACTGTGAGATTGTTATGCTGTCGTAATAAGCTCTCGTCCTTTTCGCTGTATCCCAGGAACATGAAAACCCCGTGCGGTATAGAGTAAGCATCTGCAGGGGACAAGCAAACGGAGAAAGTTCGTAAAAGTATAATCACAGGCCATTCTTAACCCGTTACCGACCGGTAGCAAGCTGTTTTATCGACGCGAGGTCGGTAAGCGTTACCGATCGTACGTCAGCAGTCGGTAAGTGTTACCGATCGTACGTCAGCGGTCGGTAACGTCGGTAAGCGTCGTCGGTAAAGAAGTCGATGGATACCGATCGGTAAAGGGTTCAGCGATACGCAGCGGGGTTGAGGTAATCTTTTTTGATGGTTTCTGTTCGAGTAGGAAGAGTATCTCTTTGGAAGGACTGCGTATCGCTTGGATCGTGGCCCATTCAAAGTTTCCAGCGCGAAATCTGACGCGACGGGCGGGTATATTCACCGGGCGAAGGCCGCATGCATATGAAACGACCGCTATAGCAGAGGCAGGGTCCGCGATGCGCCTGATACGCCGGTGCCTCGTGATTGTAGAAGGCAAAGTCCGTCTTGCAGGGCGACGAATCCACGCAGATCGTGTTGCAGATCAAAACCTCGCCCTCGCCGCACTGACAGAGCTCCGAGCACTCCGGCTCGTCCTCGCGATAGAGCTGTTAGGGTCACGAGGCATTAATTCGCGCCTCAATTAAATGGAAATTTTGGAATGCTGAAGTCCAGGAAGAGGGTCTAATGCATCAGCCGTTAAAAAAAGACAATTATAATAGAACATAGGGATCTTCGACGATTTAAAAGCCAACGATAGCGTTGGTAAAACGCTACGGCGACTCTTGCACTCGCGTTTCTTTATTCCCGCGCTAATTAAAAAGCCTTTGTACGTTCTCGTAATCCATTTCACGCAATTTAAACCCAGAACTCATTTTTGCGCGAATGGTTTACATCACATTATACGTACAATCCAAAGCAGTATACGAAAATGCGTTCACTCCTGGCCAGTGTACGAATTCTTTTAACGAGACCAGATTCAATGGCCTTTTCACGTAGAAATTGATATGTCGAACTACTTGCGTTGCTGTTCGTAATTAGGGAAGCATTCAATATTTTTTTAACGGTGTTTTCCCGGAGAACTTGAACAGCCCGAGTTTAATTGTGAAAAACGATATTAAAATATTTCAAATCTCGTTTTCCAAGGTCTCGCCACAACGTTTCGATCTTCCTGGACTTTGGTCTCCCTCGAAACGTATTCCCAATCGTTTCCCGCATTCCTCGGGACGTTTCGATCGGCGGAAAAGGCTTCCCGGTCGAAAATACTTTGCAGATTGTCGAACTCACCCTCTTGCCTTTGCCCTCTCTTATGTATTGGTGACTTTGCCTCGGCCTTTGAACCACGCAGAAGCCTATAAAGGAGACGAACGTTGAGACGCGTGTTACAACGTTTCCTACGAACTGTTTTCCTGTCCCTTTCACCGCCCCTTCAACCCCCCCCTCCCCCCCCGGAACCCTTTCTTCCCCGTTTTGAATCTTTCTTTCAGCCTGCTTCTTCCGCCCACTTTGCTTTGTAACGTTCGACAAACGGGTCTCTCTCTCACGCGGCGGTGAAACGAAAATTCCTTGTGTTTCGGACAGAATTTCTCGTCCGGCTCGAACGATCAAAGGAACCGGAGTTTCCCCATTCTAGAAACAGCGTGTCACCGCCCACGCACCGTTGTTTTTCTTTCAACGATCGCTATCCCCCGCCCTCAAAGTACCCTTTCGCGTTCCTAACCATTCGAGGGCTCGTTATCGACGCTGAATCTCGATTCCTCTACAGGGTGTTCCGTTTCGACGAATCGGAGGTCATATTCCGTGTTCAACGATTAATTAAAAAACAGCTAAAATTAAAAAGGTTAAATAAATAATAATTGTATATATGAATACCCCTGTAGAAGATAGAGCAATTTTCACGTTGGAGGAGTTGTGACAAAGGGGAATTCTTTGTTTGAGAAAAAAAGACCGCCACTCACGAGGAGGAGTGGTGGTGGTGGTGGTGGTGCTGGGTGTAGTGCTCATAGTGGTAGTGCTGGTGGTGGTGGTTGTCGTAGTCGTGGTGATTTCCCAAGTTTCCGTGGGTTCGGTGGTTGACCACCTCGTCACTTCCGGTATTTGATTATCTTCTACTTGTCCGACCACCGTGACCGTGGTTGTGCTAACTGGCGACCTGGTCGTCGACGAGACGGTCGTAGTCGTCGTTCTCGGATAATGATGGTGTTTTCTCCTCGCGTGATAGTCCTTCTGTGACTCGACTAAAAAAACAATATTTTGTAAAAAAAAAAAAATTAGCAAACGCGTCGTTATAAATAAATTTCAACGACAACTGCTGGAGGGGGTTCCCCCGTTAATTTGCATCTATGACGTTTATCAGGCAGCGAACGGAGGACATCAAACCCGGGGGGTTCGACCTACATTCCTATCGGGAATCGACGAAAGACGATCGGGAGCCGTTCGATGCAGTTAGCGCACAGCACGATGCACTTCTCGAGCGGCAAGTGCAATTTCTTCGTATCTAAATGACTTATCTGTCGGCTGAATGCCGGGTACGGTCGAGCTTTTGCAACTCGACTCGTTGGTGGAACAGATGTAAGATCGATAAAGGCCCTTTGTCGTGTCGTGCCGACGTCGTTCGTTCCTTATTTCGACCGATGTAATTGCAATTCCGCGCGTCTGCATCCGTCGCGGTCGCGACGACGCTCAAATCGTTCGATAAATGTCGGGGAACAACGATTTTATTTAATTTTCACTCATTATACCTCGTTTTGTTATTAATAATTAACCATTGACACGTTCGAGATTGACAGAAGCACGTATTACTGCGCGCGGCCATCATTGCGCGGAAAAAGTGCGCAGTGGCAAGAGGCCCACTGACATCTAATAACACCGATCGTATATCGATATATTTTTCACAGATTCTATTAGATACTCAAAATAGGATAGAAAGAGAATAAGAAGGAATTAATTACGACTCTTCATCGATATATTTCTCACAAATATGACGTTTCATATTTCGATCGATGTAATTGCAATTCTGTACGATTGAATCAGTCACAGTCGCAAAGAAGCTCGTATCGTTCGACAAATGTCGTGAATCAACAATTCTATTTATTTTTCACTCAATATACCTCGTTTTGTTGTTAATAATTAACTACTGATACGTTTGACAGGGAAAGAAACACGTACTACTGCGCGCGGCCATCATTGCGCGGAAAGAGTGCGCAGTGGCAAGAGGCCCACTGACATGTAATAACATCGATATATTTCTGACAGATATTTGACAACGTCTCTATTAGACACTCAAAACAGGCCAAAAAGAAAATAAGAAAGAATTAATTACGTCGAATAATCAAGAAAGAAGGCTTCCCCAGTATCTACGATTAAAAACGAGACGCGAGATCCGCTCGACCGCGTGTATCCGTATTTGCGATAGAAATTCAGCGTGTCCGGGGGCCTCCGGTTGCAATCAGATGCGCGCGACCGCGATTTATCTCGAAAATTTTCACGATCAAAAACCGACTACGTTCGGACGCATCTCATCCATTTCGTTCCCCCCCGGGTGATATTTTTTTTTTCTCCCCCTCACGTTCCGTAAATATGGAATCGGGCCATTGTTGCGCCGGGTATTCCCGTTTATCGCTACGTTTAACTTTTCACCGTCGAGTTGCGTCGCTTTTAATTATTCATATTATCCCATACCGCGGCGTCGTTTCGACAACGGAACGGGCGTCGATTTTATTAACGCGTATAAATTCGCAAACACGATCAAACGATTTCCTTTCGGGGCGTTTCGGCAAATTGCTTTCGGGTGTCTTAATATTTATGCGACAGGGGGCTACGTGCAGACATGTTTGGCAGAATTTAATGCGAGGGAATAACGTTTTCCATAATTTGCAGGAGATAAAGGCGTGTGTTGGGGGCAGAATTCGAAATTAATAAACGAAGGAAAATGGTTTTTCGCTCACCTACGCAGGGATTCACCCAAAGGAGCCTCTGCCAGCCGAGGCAGTCGTAGAGCTGCGTGAGTTCGGTGCCCTTGCAGGCGCAGTTTGATCTCAGCTCGGTGCCCAGGATCCCCAGCATCGCTTTCCTGCACTCTGTTGTGGGCCCAGCGCACTTCTTCGTCACGCTGTCCACGGCACAACTTTGCTCGTAGTATTCCAACTTCATTCTGCACAGCACACACGACACCCATCACGAGAAATCACTACACGCCCTCGACAACAACTTTTCGAACGAACTGCGTTGATGGACGGACCCGATAGCACTACCTAACCTCTATCCCCCTCTCCAACAACGCGTCGAAGCTTTTCACGAACACGTTCACCTCTACGAGCTCGTGAAAGGACAAACAACAACATGCTTCCATAATATAACAAAATGTATTGATGATTGTTTTAACCCTATTCATACACCTCCTCCACCGTGTGGCTAACCCAGACCTAACCTTACCGATTCGAGCGCTGTAATCGCGAGGCACCAAATTTGAATTTCAATATAGACTGACTCCACACTTTGTGAAGAAATAAAATTAAATAAATAAAATTTGGGAGGTGGGGGATATATAATATACGTTTGAAAAGAATTAGGCAAATCGTGGACTCGTTCGAGCTTGTAATTTAACGCGACTCGTCCATCGCGTGGCGCGACTAATCTAACCCTAACCTTACCCTTACCTATTCGCGCGAGGCGCCAAATTTGAATTTCAATATAGACAAACTCGACATTTTGCAAACAAATAAAATGAAATAATATAATAATACTTTTAAAACGAACTAGGCAGATCGTGGACTCGTTGGAGCGTGTAATTCAACGCGACCCGAAGCGTAGCGTTTATTTTTTAAATAATCAAGTGTTTCATAAGGCGGAAAAACTGGATCAAGCAGCTCCTCGTTGGCTCGCGATTTAACTTTCAAATCGAGAGGGGGCTAGAGGGAAAGAGTTTGATTAATTTTTGCGATCTTAATACGCGATCGATTAATCTCCCAGGTCGTTCGCGTATCCCCCCTCCGTTCGAGTTAATCCAGAAATAAATTTGCTTTGAAAATAATCGTCGGGGAAAGGCAGGATTAATCGACCATCGTATGCACGCGTCGATTTATCATTTAAATCACTGTCTCGATATCGTCGAGTACGCGGAGCCAATCTTTTTAAAAGGACCCTTTCAGACACGTGCTTTTTATCGTCGTTTTATAAGTCACTCTTTGAGACGTATCGTTCCGTGTCTTCGGTCAAAACGCCAGACGACGGGTCTAACCTGTCATGAATTGAATTCCGTACGGAATACCGTCGCGAAAAACGGGTATTCACGACGAGAGGCGAAGGAAAATAAACTGTCTACATTAAAACAGTACCGCTGCAACGGTCCCGTTCAACGCGAGGCGTATGTTTCCAGCAGAAAGATGAGAAAAAAAGAAACGAAAAAAAAAATCAGCAGAAAACGCGACTTGTCTGGGAGAGCACCGAAAAAGGGTGAACGAGCTTCCAACACGCAAGTTTGAATCTAACACATCCGAAAGCTATTCAGAGGGAGCGCGGAGCCGAGTCTTGCTCGCGATTTTACACGCACGAGCTACTTTTTCAGCGAGCAAAATATACGAAATTAAACGAATATTATGGAATGTTTCGAGTCTCGGGTACCTGCAACCCCTGTTTTCTTTGCAGGCCTCTGCCAAACTGTGACATGTCGGCGTCTCGTTCCCGACGATTCTCTGCGCGCATGCAGGATGCATTTTCTCCTGCGCCACTATGCACTCGTCCTTCTTCCCATCCGTCTTTCTGCAAGATTCAGTACGATAAGAATATTCATTTTGTAAGGGAATAAATACTTATTTCAATATTGTATCTATTTGTTTCAATTTTCTTTTTTTTTGGAAAAAAATGTGTAAAAATTCGGGATAAAAAAAAAACAACTAGCCTATCAGGTAGAGGATATTAAAGTGCACAAGTATCATATAAGTGAAAATAGGTGTTAACGTGCTCGTTTTTGAGTTATTGACGAAAAACTGGCGCGAATGATCGCTCCGGCGGCTAAAATCGTTGCAAGACAAAATTTCGACAGGCTATCCTGTAGGGAAAAATCAGAGGAACACGATGCCACGGTTAAAAGTATAGTTTAACGTGCTCGTTTCCAAGTTATTGACAAGAAAATGTGTCAAAATTCGAGACACTTTTATGTCCAAAACTGAATTTATCATTACAATTTTTTTAATTAAATTTGAGGCGTAAACTGGGTCTTTAAAAATTTGTGTCGGGATGTTCCCAGTGAATTGAAAGCGTGGAAACGGATGGGACGCAGGTAACCAGTTTCCAGCGGATTAATTGCAAAGGTGGGAAGGTTAATGGCGGAGTTTGTCGGTTTGGATAAAGGACTCGATTCGTGGCTCGACGTTCCGTGAGAAAAGAGAAGACGCAGCGATTTACTGCGCGAGGGAGCAGCCCAAAGTCAACTTCCATCTGCTTGCTCCGGGGTTGTAAGGAGGTTCAAGGGAGGGAATTCCCCGGTCTGGCGAGGTGGGTATTGCTCAACGAGCATTAAACGAGCCTGCTGCGTATTTTATTCGACCGCCAAACCTCTCTGTTCCTCGCAGCATCCCGGAGACCCCATCCTCAACAGTAATCTCCCCAACATTAATAAACCCAAAGGTGGACATCGATACAAAGGACCAATTTAAGACGAGCGAGAGGAAAAATGGCGAAGTTTCGAGCATTGTTTCGCGAGGGCCGCTTAAAAGTTAAAGGATCAGGGATGCAAAACTTGAGACACTTCTCTGGAAGAAGGTCCTTTTGTGTCTTTCCGAGTTTGCACAGAATTACGCGGCACAAAGGACGATTTTAAGGTCTCGTTGGACCTTTTGATTCTCGAGGACCTCACCTGCAGAGACAGAACGCTATCTCCACAGAGTGTTTGTGGTTCGCGGACTTGTAGAAGCCCTGCAACGCCTCCATGCACTCGTTCCTCGCGCAATTCAGGGAGTCACAGTGGTTCAGGACGGGCTCCAGCAGGACCTTGCACTCCGGATCGTTCCTGGAACCAGTGACCACTCTAGAGAATCCATTGCTACTTGAATAAGGATAACTTTCTTACTTGCAAGCTGTGTAGGCGTGATGACAGGTGCTGGAGAGCACGATCTTCACTGGCTGCTGCAGCTTGTCCAGGTCTGAGGCTGCTGATGGCAACACCACCGACGTTTCTACGCAGAAATATCATTTTTATGTGATCAACCATGATGTCTGTGGATGGTGAAACAATGAATATTCGTTGCAAGGAGCCACAGTCACGCTTGGTGGTCGTTTGCACTGTGCAGAACCAATGATTTATCATTCGATGACCGACTTGGCTCGACCCGGGGGTAAAAGAACGACCTTTGGTAGGGCGGATCTTGAATATTTATCGGCCGATATTTACCCCCTCCCCCATCTGGCCACTTAAAAACAATCGTCGGGAATAATTGTTTATTTATGCAAATCGACGGAGTTCCGCGGGCAGAAGCTGGAATTTAGTAGTCGAAGGAGTAAACGAGAAAATCCACGACCACGTTTTTTGGGACAACAGGTTACTCCTATGAAGAATGTTTTCGAAATAACCTGAGCTATCGAGGAGTCCATTAACCGGCTAATTTGAGGGGGAAAAATAGTTGAAAGTGGATTCTGAAAAAAAGCAAATGTTCGTTCGAAAGTTTCGGTTTCGAGGGGCAAAGAAAACCCCGCATTTGCATAAGCAAACTTCGCGACAACTTTAAATAAACTTTCGCATTAAGGGGCCTCCAGGAATAAATGTATAAGGTTGATGCAAGAATTATGCGACACAATAAACTCGGGAAACGAGAAACTTTAGTGAATGCTTTCTTATTGTTCAATTTGGAGAAATATCGCTTTAATATCGACTGAAAAATGTATTATTTTTGTAATAATAATTGAACGAAAGTTGGAAGTTTGTTGTAGTGGAGATAATTTTTAAATCGAACGACGTTAGTATACGCTGATGGAGTTATAATTATCTGGTAAATCATTCTACAGAATATAACAGGATGTGGGGTTTCTCGGAGTTTAATGCCTTGTAAAACATGGCGACACGTAACAGGGCGATTAATTAGACCCTACGGGAGAGCTGGAAATCTAACTTTGTTCTAATATTGTGAAAAACTGCGAGTTATGGTTGTGATATATTGCTCAACAGAGAAACTAATTTTTTAAAAGAGACAGCAGAGTTAAGTGGAAAAAGTGGAGAACGAGATTGCACAATGATTACGATTTAATTTACTTTTTGGATACTCTTCGGAGCAGTTTCTGAAAGAAGGGATTTGCAACGAATAAACATGTTGGTAATTTCGCTAACGAGCAAGTTAAACAGTGGAGATTCCTAATGAGACCCTCGAGGAACCGAACAGAGGACGTAGTAAAATAACAGGCGTTTGAATTTTACTATTGAAACTGAAACTGGAACGGGGGGAATGCAACCGCCGCGGAACGGAAACGGACGGTTAAATTATCCAGAAGTGGCGATCGAACTTTCGACTAATTTTTAACGCGGCGTTTTTAATGCTAATTGGTCCGCGGCTGGGGAATATCTGATTTATTTACGCCATTGTACACTCGGGATAACAAGACGAGTTCCCCCCCACAAAAGAGGAAAATAAAATTATTTTATTAAAAATATAAGATTTCGATTTTTTTTTATATTGTAGGATTCAAAAAAAGGGAAAAGAATCGAAGAATGCTTAATTTGTATTAACACTTTACCGACCGATAGCCTATTAATCGACTGTTTTACCGGCCAACGCTTACCGACAAATAGCCTATTAATCAACTGTTTTATCGGCCGACGCTTACCGACCGATGGCCGATTAATCAACCGCTACCGGTCGGTAAAGTGTTGAGATTTGGGTCAGGTGCATCGAAAGGAGACTAAAATAAGAGGAAAATAAAATTATTTCATTAAAAATTTAACAGGATTTCAATTTTTTTTAAATTACAAGATTCAAAATAAGGAAAAGAATTGAAAATTGCTGAATTTATTTTAAGATTTGGGTCAAATGCATCGAGAGGAGACTAAAATAAAAGAAAAATAAAATAATTTTATTAAAAATATAAGATTTTAATTTTTTTTAAATTTCAGGATTTAAAAAAAGAGAAAAAATACGAAGAATGCTTAATTTATATTAAGATTCGGGTCAGATGTATCGAGAGGAGAATTCAATCGATACCTGAATGTCAAATATCAAATAAAAAATGCGATACTCGACTCCTCAATTAATTCTTTTAACGAGCACAAAAAGAAGTTTCCTGACGTTTATATATCGACGTTTCGATTTCTCCTCGACAATAAGCATTCGTGGTCCATTATTCGACCCGTAAAGAAACCCCTATTTGAGCGGAAGGGGTTGAAAATTGAGCACAGATCCTTCATTGACCAATTTTGAAGACCCTCAAGGAGGTTTCCTACTCAAAAAAATTTAATTTCAGCTTTTTTAAGCTCTAAAAATTTGTGAACATCACTGAAAGGGTAACAAATATATATGCAAAAAGACTCTTCAAGAACTTGCATAGTTTCCTCAGAAAAAAATATCAAAGAGAAAATAAAAATGGGTTTTATAAGTAGGGAGCTCCACTTAATCACCTTTTTTTGGATCGATGGACTCTCTAATTTCGCTGGAGGGGAAAAACTGTTGGGAACAGACCGGGGGAGGGGGTGCAAACTGCTCAGGATGATTAGCCATAAGTCAGCCGTCGCGAGGAACATGCCTTCGACGCACTTTATTAAGACAAACGAGCGTCCTCCCTTCGACCGCCTTGATTACCGTTCTCGAAACCTTCGTTACCCCGAGGGTGCTTTGTCTTTGACCTTGGACCTCCCTTAACTAGCCCCACTTAAACCCAGAAATATTTCGTTCGTCAATTTTAATCTAAATCACCGCAAACCGTTTCCTCAAACACTCGTATTCGATAAATTTCACCCTATTTCGAGTTACAAATACTCAATTAACACCATCACTGCCAAAGCAAAACATTACATAACATAAAATTTGCTTCAGTACTTATTTTCGTAACCTAAAAAATTAAAAATTAAAAAATTCCATCCAAATTTATTCCCCCCCCCCCCCCTCCATGTCTCAACTCGAAAATCAATTTTTGAAAGCGTCGATACTGATATGAATCATCGATAAAAAAAATTTTTTTAAACAAAAATAAAAAAATTATAATCGACATCGTTCGCCTCAAATAAAGTGGAGGATGTAAAACGGCGTTTCTAATATCGAATAAAGAGCAATTTCTTGGGGGAGGGGGATCGTAATGTTCGCTTAATTAATTTCGAGGCGTTTTATACCCCCGCCCTATCACCGTTTTCCAATTAAAATTGCTGTTACCATTCCTGGGTAAGAACTCTCCTCAAAACTCGTAGACAAGTTTGTCGTGGTAGGACGCGGAGGATGACTTCGCGTAGGAATATCAATCGTAGGAGTTCGAGGGTACGAGGGGGGTGGGTGTGGGGCGGGATAACTTGACTCGATCGCAGACAGATTCCTCGAGAAACACGACCAATTCGAACTGGCGGTAATTGGAACCGGTGTCCGTCTGGCTTCTCGAGATCGATGCCGTGTGCCCTCCCTCCTATCAGGATATATCTGGCCACTGGCAGCCACCCCCCGAACCTTTCCGGTGACGCAGGTGCACGGACGTAGAAATTCGACGGAGCTCGTTAGCCACGCGAACGGGGGAGAATCGGTTCCCATCGAGCCGGAAAAACGACCGAGGAATCTGGATTCGATCGCCGAAATATTTCCCTCCGGGCAGATTTTGCGATTTAAACAATTTCACCACCCCCCATTTTCTGCAAACAACCGAGAGAAAATTTGTAATCGTATATTCCGAGGTGTAAGGGATATTCTCCGTGTTGGATGACCAATTACCAGGCCGCTGATAGACGGAGAAAATGGCGAGGAAAAGCCTCGACTTTCCCCCGTCGAGCTCGGCGATCGCGTTTCGAAGGTAATTGGATAATTAAGCAATCGTAGTCGTTACCAGATGCAGGTTTGAGGAAATCGAACCGGGGGAAAAACACTCTCCCAGGAAGAAAAAATTATTTGACCGGTCTGGGATCGCGTGCAACGGTGGAAACAATTGCAACGACTGTGAATTGTTTCCTTCGGGGTTAATTGCAGGGGTGAATTATTCTTTCGCGGCGGCGTGAGGGGCCGAGCTTATGCACGGACACGTTCCAGCTTTCGTTGCATCTTTCTACGGAAACTTCGTTCGTACGATAGGTCACGGTTGCCTGATAAACTTTCTGGCTGGGGAACACATCCTTTGGTAAGCCTCAAACATCGTATATTTGGTGTATTCTTCCATTATTGGGGTGAAATGTTCGAATGCACTTGGAGAGAAGAGTAAAAAATGTCACATCAACATAAGTTGTTTGAGAATATTTGATAATATGAGCTTCTCCGTGGTGAAATGATTGTAATCGACGTGTGCATCGGATGGGGGATGAAATTCCCTTTAAGATGAGCGTTTGAACGAGTCGATAGCGTTATTAGTTCCGGAGATATGACGATTTTTGTCCGGAGCCAACGGTTTGTTTACATCTCATTGTTTACATCACGGGGTCATTGACCTCACGCGTGAGTGGTACAATTCTCTTTACACGACGATATCTCCAAAACGGTAAGTCGGATTGAGAAAAACTATAAGTCATTTTTAAAGAGGAAGCTTCGCCGCTGCTAATGGCGGTTAAATAATGCACGAGGAGTGAGTAGTTTCCGAGTTGCGCGAGTGTAAAGTTTATGCGCTTTTAACGCGCGTTTCGAGACAGTCGTAAGACGGTTCCGGAGACGTTGACCGTAAGGCTGACGGCGCATGCGCGTCTGGTGGATGGCGTTTTCGCGGGAAAACAAAAAATGTAGGGCGGTCGACGGATTTTACTTTGTATATGTATATCCGAAATCGATAGGGGCGCACTTTTGACGAGCACGCTCGAACGTACTCGCAGGTGCAACGGAGGCGGGCGCATGCCCGGACCTAGATGCGCGTACCGGAGTTATAATTACGGTGACCCGTTTGTTTAACTTGGCCGATAACGAGCAACGATTTTGCGCCTACATCCTCCTCCTCTCTCTCACGCTTCGTCGCGTCAGAGTCCCGGAAAAAAATATCTGAATCGACAAATTCCCCACTCTGTGCATTTATTGTGATAATAACCACCCAAATTTTACGAGTCACTCTTTATCAGAAGGAGCGAACGGTGACTTTTTATATCGATTTTTCTCTGAATCGAGTCCACGCGTCCAAGATCCTTCTTGGTCGACGGAACGAGGTCCCCGCGGACCGCTCCATCGAAATTGAATATATGAATGCGAAATTCCAGCGCGTCGCGGACCCGTCGGGAGTTCGACTTCCGAACCCCGGAGAAAATAGCGACTCGTTAGGTTACCGTCCGCCGGAGAAACGGGTAAATAAGCGGTCGAACGAATTTTAATTAGGACGCGACGAGTGGCGGGAAATGCTCGCTTGTTCCACGCGGCTGTGAAAGGCGGGACTGATTACATCCACGCTCGAAGACGCGGCGGCGTTTTTAATTCGTTTATACGCGGGGAGAAATATACGAGCGAACGGAAAGGAGCAAATAAATAAATTCTCGATTTCCGCGTGACGTTCCCGATCGGTAAAAATCAGTCATCCCCGCGTTTCTTTCGGACGGTCCGGATTACGGGACACGATAGCTTCGCGCTGCTCGTCGGCCCGTAGGAATCGGTTTCGCTCGAATCAATCACCGGACGGAACATCGATACGCGGGTAATCGCTGGATTAAAGGATAACCAAGGATAATTACTCGCCGCCCGATCGGGATGCAATCAATTCTCGATGCGTTATGGTTCGTATTGGCCACCACGCGTTTCATCGATTCCCGCTATTCGTCTTACTCTGGCCCATTCATTTTTTAATAGAAATCCTCCAAATAAAATTCCGCGACCGGTATTTCTCCTCCTAGCAGGATTTACTGCGCGTGGAATCGCGCTGACCGTCACGGTTTCGTTCTTGTTTAACGCTAGAGAACTCGTCCATCCATCAACCCCCGCCGTGAGTTACGGGTAAGAGAAAAGTATGTATTTCTCTCGTCTTCCCCTGCCAAAAATTATCCCGCGAATTCGCCCCCGGGGGCGCGTCGTAAATTTTTCGCGAGAAGTTTCGCCCGGCGGAATCGATCGTACGCGCATAACATCGCGTAACGTCGCGCTCGCCCGGGTCTGAAACTTTATCGCGGCGAAAGTTTAATTTAATTTTACCTACGAGTCCTCTCATTTCCTGTCCCGGCCCCGTATCTACCGGTATTATTTCTCGAGCCCGCCGGATTTCGAACTTTAATCCGACACGGCAAGAACCTGGAAACTTCGCGCCCGGATCCCGATGTACACGTTACGGGACCAATTGGCCACGAGCTGCGTATAAATCGCGACCGTTTTCCTCCGAGAATCTACATTTACAGTTAAACACGCGTTTACTGCCCGTGACCCATATATGGACCACGTCAGATGGATACACTACTGAGAAATATGCAATTGCCCTCTTCTTGTACTAAAATGGAATATAGGATCGAAGATTTTTACTTTACCGACGGTTCATCAACTGTTTTACCGACTATCAATCGGTAATGCTTACCGACAAAGCTTTTACCGACTATCAATCGGTAATGCTTACCGACAAAGCTATTACCGACTGTTTTTTTGTCGGTAAAAGGGAATATGGACAAGATTATTTGAGTGATCGAACGATTACTCACGATCGTGATCGTCCGTTTGGTTCTTTTTGCGATGCTGTTTGTGATGATGGCCGCCTGGGACGGAGAGCTGCTGCATGGCCAGCAGATCCTGGTGCTCGGCGTCAATCAGCGGGTTCTCGAGCTGCGACTCGATCACCTCGAAGCTGGTCGAGTTGTCCGGGTGCGCGATGACCTTCACTGTAAACGAGCAAGCGTAACGGAGCATGGAGGAAACACGAGGAGAAACGGAGTACGCGGATCTTCGAGCGATCTTCTGTGACAGGCAATGTCGCTCGAGGATGTCGTGTAACGGAAGATCGCCAGTTTCTATGTCGCCGTAGCGTTCCTTGGTTCTTTATCGAGGCTCGAATCGACAGCTATTCGCGGTTCTCGACTTTGAAAAACGGCAACAAGTATCGTCAAACCGAGAGCGGAGGATTTGTGGAATCTAGGATCGAAGATCAACACTTTACCGACACTTAATCGACTGTTTTACCGTCTGTTAATCTTCTTTGTCGGTAATGCTTACCGACAAAGGTTTTATCGACTGTGTTTCGTCGGTAACGTAGATTACCGGTCGGTAAAGTGTCAATGAGCAATAAATTCGGGAAGAACCGGGCCACTTGGTATTTCCGTCATCCTTTGGCGGTAGAGGCGGCGCTCGACGATCGACGATCGACTCGGAGGGTGGTGTCCGGGGGGCACGGCACCCTGACACCGGTGTACGAACCTTGGTCGACGAACCCTTCGAAGGCCTCGCGGAGATCGAAGAGCCGGTCGACTGGCAGCGCGCCGATCCTGAATTCGTGGTCATCGAGGTCGTCGTCGGCGCGATCGAAGATCGCCCGGTGCTCGTAGGTGGGCCTGGGCGCGAATTTCTTCGGCTGCACCAGGTCGGGCCTCTCGACTCGTTTCGTCTCGCCCACGGTAGGCGTTGGACGAGGCGGCGGATAACTCGGCGACGACGACGACGACGACGACGATGACGACGACGACGACGACGTCGCGGCGAACGGTGGTGCGGGTGGTGCAGGGTTGTGCTGGTGGTGCTGGTGATGGTGATGATGGTGCAGGTGTGCGTCATGCTCGCTTTGGGAGTGCCTTGGCTGCAGGTGCACTGTGCTGGAGGCACGATCATGCTTGGACAACGTGGAAGAAGAAGAAGAAGATGAAGAAGGGGAAGAAGACGAAGAGTAAGAGGAGGAAGATGAAGAAGAAGAGCCGCGGTCATAGAAGCTCCCAGGTCCCTCCATCGAGTGATCTTTTTCCCTCTGGTGCTCATTGTCGGCGCCAGCACGAGCCCCCTGCCGGTTCTCGTGATCGCCGCGCGGATCGTACGCCTCGACCACGAGCACACCGGGCCTCCCGGGCAACTCCGGCGCTTCCTGATGACGGCCGTGCTGGTGACGGTGGCCGTGCTGACGCCTCTGCCCGGGCTCCTGGACGTCGTACGTGCTCTCGTGGTCGTAGTACGAGGTGCGCGCGGCCCCGGGGAACAGAAAATAGGGGTACATACTGGTCGGTGGTAACCAGATCTCCTGGTAGCTCTCCTGCTGCGGGTCGAACGGATACAGGGCCGAGTCCGTGCCCGACAGGTCTACGGAGGTGGAGGAGGGCAGGAACTCTGTAACACAGAAGCAGAGACGCGGACGAAAACGGGGTGAGTGGGGTGCGTGATCGCATCGGTACACGTGCACGGGTTCGCGTGGTACGTGCTACGCTTTTGTGGTGTCATAGTGGTGAGATATTTGGTGGTATCATACTTGCTGGCGATGGTACTGGGTTAAACACTTTTTCGATGTTTTTCCTGGATCAACACCTTTCTTTTTGTGAACTTTCCTTTAGCAACCGATGCTCTCATTACGAAACAAGCTATGGTGCAGTGAGGTCTATCGTGGCCCATTAACGTCCCCCGGAGGAGTCAATCAAACTCACGGGTCGACAAAAAGACGAGGATCTCTCTCTCTCTGGAGGGAGGGAGATCGGTTCAAAGCCAAGACTGCTCGCGAGTAAAGCGTTTGCTTAGGCGTTTGGCGTTCCCCCCGAGTTTCCAGAGAACTTGGAGTGCCAAAGGGAGTCCCGGAGCCGGCGCAACCGAGGTCGAACGTCAATTCCGATTACGACTTGGTTCGTTTAACACCCCGGCGGCCCCGGCTTTCTCGCAATCTTTTCACCAGACGAATCTTTGCCACGTTCTCTCGCTCCAAAACCGAGAAAATATTGTTGTTGATGGTACTTTGTCGCAGGTAACTCGAAATAAATTTTTAAAGCATTGGTCTGAGATACTAGTTAATTTTTAAAATGTGTTTGTTTTTTTGTGAATTCGTAGGGGATCGGTTGCTCAACGAAAGGCGCGATAATTATGTCGAGTATGTGAGAGAGTTTCGGAACCACGCGTCAATGTTTAACCGCTTAATAGACTCGGTGATACCGGTGACCCGTGGTTCCGAAGTTATCTTGTTATCGGTGCTATTGTTTGCGAACTTCTCTCGTAACTGGACGTCTTAATTTTGCAAAACTCGATGGATTATCGATACGACATCGAAACTCTCCGGGGAGAGTGTGTTCTCTGGATCCGAGAGAGGGGGGAATGGAGAGAAGAAGAGTATGTAAGTGAGCGAGTAAAACAGAGTAAGACAGTTGGGCGATTTTAATCGAAGTCATGCGCATTGTCAGAATGAAATTCGACGAAGTACGGGGCATGCAGGCTCTGAGTACGTGCAAAGGCCTACGAAATAAGAGAATCTCACGTGCAAGTACGGGCATGCGGTGCATAATCTCCTTGCATTCTCGCCCGAAGGCTTTTTTCCCACGGAACTCTTATCCGCGACATCGTTCTGCGATTTTTAAATCGCGCGCGCTTTTCGATCGAACCAAATTAAAATGGAGGAGGTCGGAAGCAAAACTTTATGAAGTGATATTTGAGGAGACAGGAAAATATAAATAGAAAATTATGAAAGTTAGTAAAATGAATTAATTAATTTATTTAGGAGTAGAAGCTCTTAAAAAAAATAATTTTTTAAAAATTATAAATAAAAAAAAATAATTTTTGAAAAATTATAAATAAAAAAAAATAATTTTTGAAAAATTATAAATAAAAAAAAATAGACTATTTTTTGACTGTTTCAGCGTGTCTTTTGAGGGGTTGTGAGATAGTAAAATCGAAGGGGAGTGGAAATAAAGTAACACCGTGATGGAGATGGTGACAAAATGGGGGATGGTTCACGAAATGCAAATCCTTCGGGGAGAATGCGTACTTAGGGGGTGCTGGTGCTGTCGTGCAGACGTTCCTTGACATTCGAGGATTTCGAGGGCGGATCCGGGGGCCTCCGTGGGCTGCCATCTTCTCTGGACACCCGGTATTTTTCAAGATCGCGGATATCCTCTTCCTGGTCCGGGACGATCGTCTACCCAATTCTCAGGCTCGTCAGGAGTCTCAAAACTCATTTTCTCGCGATTTTTTTTAGATTTTAATTTAAAATTTTCGAAAAGCAATGACTCCCATTTTGTGGTGTCAAATTTCTCGAAACGTCGCGTTTGAGTTAACTTGAGCCTCGAGGAACACCCTTACACCGTTCCTCCTCGTCTCTACTCGTGAAATCTCGCGGAAATCTTCTGATCGTTACGTCTAAGATATTATTTTACTTTTGGGGCACTCTGGACGATATCGACTTTTCGACTCCTCAGCGCTGAAACGTAGAAAGTTGAGTGCACGCTGGTCACTGTTGCTCTCGTCTGTTGCCAGCAATGACAATCGTTTTCGCTCAAAACAAAGGGGGAACAATGGATGTGCCTCGTTGTTGGCAACTGTACTTACGCCCATAAGTGTCGTCTTCTCAGCCACGAACATCCTGTCGATCCTGGAGGATCCTCGATTTTCAACAACACGATTAAACTGACTCGATTCTATCACCCACCGAAGCACTGAATTTTTTTTTATTTCGAAATGAATGAAACATTAATCTTAATCGAAGATAGAGGAGCCTAAAAATAGGGGGTAGAGGGCGTCGTTAGGGCGCAAGGGATCGAAGGTATGGAAGATGTTGCTCGAATTTCAGTGAAATTAAGGTCGAGCCTGCCACGCGATGAAATCCTTATCTACATCTCGATACCGGTAGCCTTTGGTTAATTAAGGAGAAAGGAGCTTATCCGGAGAAAGAGGCTATATAAAATCATCCCACGAGCCTTAAACACCCCCGTATGGACGAAAGTAATTGCCTCGTAGCGTCTTTTCAACCCCCTCAAAAAAGAAGTAAAAGTATCCCTGATCGCATATTAATTCCATTCTAAGATAGCTGAAACCCCATTTCTCCACAAAAATTTCTCCCAAGATTAATTTCTCGAGACAATATCGTCTTCTCCATCCAGGATCGACGAGGGCATCGAACGTCGAAAAAATGACTAAAAGAATGGTCACTCCGTGTAAAGATACAGACAAATATACAAGGGGGGACGGGCAACTTCTCTCAACGAGACGTACGATAAAAGTAAATCGACATTTGTCATATCCAAAAATCAAAAATAATACACACGTTACTTCACAACACCAACAAGTCGTTTGTTTCACAAGGTGCGCTAGTAAATACGGTTAAATTAACAGTATACGATGTATGTACTCGTTCCATTCATGGTCGCAAAGTGTCTGGCTCCAGGGCAAGTCACAACGAAAAGAAAAACAAAAAAAATAACAGTATTCCAAAGCGAGAAAGTCTCGTGTGTAACGGCACTGGATGATACGTATGATGCCTGTATGTACCACGTTGTGTATATACGTGTACATAAAGAGAAAAGAAAAAACGTTTGCGATCGCAACGGGGTACCCGATTTCATACTCACCAACGCAGGGATTGTGATTCACCATCGAGAAGATCCTGTCGCAGCGTTTCTTGATCTGATTGTTCGGGCAGATGCAGCCGAACATTGGCGACAGCCGCAGCTGGGTCCAGGAATCGTGACAGGCGTTCCTGAAACACGAAACGGCCACAAATTAGTTCAACTGCAACGCTTTGTCCACGTACGGTCGATAAAACAGCGAAGTAATAGGCCACCAGTCGGTAAGATGCAGATTAATTGGCTAGCAGTCGATAAAACAGCGAATCAATAGGCCACCGGTCGGTAAGATGCGTATTAATTGGCTAGCAGTCGATAAAACAGCGAATTAACAGGCCACCGGTCGGTAAGAAGCAGATCAATTGGCTAGTGGTCGGTAAAAAAGAGCTTAATAGGCTACCAGTCGGTAAAGTATCGATGAATAAGTTACCGATCGAAACCTGTGGACTCTACTCGGTGTGTAAAAAGTTGTTTCGCGAAAAATATCGAAACCCTCGGGGGACGAGAGTTCGGAATCGCGAGTGGTCGTGGTTCTCGTTGGGAACTAATTACTGCGAGGCTAATTGAATAATCCACTGGAAAATTATCTCCTTAGCGTTGACTATTTAACGTTGCCTCTTCGTGAATAAAGCCAACGTTAAATATTCACCGTGTAATGAGGCTCGTAATCGGCACTGAATAACCGATAGCACGAGCAATAAGACCGACAGGTTTTACCGGAACGATGAGGCTCGTCGAACATTGTAAATATGTGGCTCGGAGAGGTCTGTAGAATATTTCGCTTCAATGTTATCGAAGGTGGTTCGCGCGAAAATTCAATCGTCCAATTAACGTCACGTTAAATTTAAATGTAGAAGTTGTTCTCCCGAACGAATCGCTCTGATCCACCCATCTATTTCAAAGGGAATCGCTATCCAAACGCGCAACAAGAAAAGTGAGAAGGGTAAAAGGAAACCAAAGAAGGGTAGGAATTCGTAGAGGGTGAGATCGCGCCTTGGAATTATTTGGGTTAATGGCACATAGAGTTCCAGTCGTGGCTCTCAACGAATTAGAGGGTAGAAACGGTTCAAAAGGAAACACGAAACCGAAGGTGAAACGGAAACGCCACCGTCCAAGCAAAAATCGAAAAAGGGACGAATGTGACAGTTTCACCGTTTCCACCGAGAATAATATTTATGTTCCCCTAATGAATTGCCGTTTGGGTATTTCAAAAGGCAAGAAAGACTACCGATCGACCGTTCGACCGAATTATATCAACACTTTACCGACTGGTAGTTAATCCGCCTTTTTTACCGACATTTACCGACCGGTGGCGCATTAATCAGCCTTTTTACCGACATTTACCGACTTTTTATCGACATTTACCGACCGGTGGCCTATCAATCAACTTCTTTACCGACTTTTTGCTCACGTTTATCGACTGGGGGCCTATCAAAGTGTCGATAGGTTACTTTCGATAGTGATTTATGTATCAGAAACGGTCTAAGACGAGCGCTGGTTTTCTAACCGCGATGCAACGAAGTTATGGTTTCGTCCGGCGAGACGAGGAGGATTTTCGTTAGCGGCGTGCCGCTGACAGGTCAGAAATGCAGTCTGTTCGAGGAACGAGCGTCGCGTCGTGCGGTCTGTCCGCACATCGGACACAGAAACGGGCGTCTCCGGGCGTCTCTCGCGAGTTTCATCAGCAAAAAGAAAACAACATGGGATGCATCGCGTTTCGAGCTCGAAAGAAACGGCACGTCGAAAGGGTCGACTCCGCTGGCTATAATTTATTTATGGAAATGCTCTCGCACGATGAATATTTATGGCAATTAGATGGAAAGATCCTGTAACTATGTTCGAGTAGACGTCGCGCGAAGAACGAAAACGTCAGTCAAATTTCTGCGCCGCAATCTTTGGGAAGACCGACGTGGATGGCAGGGAAATTACGTCGGAGTTAATTGAACGTCCCTGGGCGTATCCGCGAAAGACTCACGCAGTTTTATTCCCTGGAAAATATCGCGTATCGATTATTCAACCGTTTCTTGACCCGTCTACTTTGGTTTCTTCTCGAAACTTGCCAATTTTATAGTGTTTTTAATGGTTTGATATTGCAACCTTTTGGGTCCAGGATGACTCAATCTCTGTCATGTTGGGGAGAGGTGTTTCTGATACACGGAATTTAATCTCGCGAAGATATACCAACGTTGAAATTGCATTCGAAAGAGAGTTTCTCTGCGCCAAGTTTCGAAACGTGGTATCCGTTTGGCAATTTGCTAGTATAATCTTTGGAACGAGTCGCGAGCGGAGGGCGGTTTACGAATAAGTAGCTGCTTTTTTCCTCCCATGTTCGCGTTGGCAAACGTCGCAAGAAACGGCGCCGCGAATGCAGGCGCAACGCAACTAATTGACGCCGTCGCTGGAACGCGAATTAAACTCACAAGAAGAGGTGGTTGCAGGAAAAATTGCAATTTTCAATATTAATAAACATTTAATTATCTGGACGAAATTAAAAGTGGAGTATTGGAAGATTATTTCTGATTTAATTTCTACTATTTCTGGGGTAAACAGTTGCGCGTTTGGGGTGTTTTCGTGACTCGCGCGACACTTTCGTTTTTCACTTTCGAACGCGGGGCTGAAAAATTAAGCGTCCCTAATGAAAAAGAGAGGCGGAGCGGCGATGCAGAATCCAGAGGCGACACAGAATAATCCGTAAATCTCATTTTTATCGCGCGTATGAGGCGTGAGGGGGGTGACCGGGGGGAGTAGCGTGGCTGGCAAAACGCGAAAGAACAAAGAGAAAAGCAAGTGGGGGGACTGGCACGTTGGGTTGGACGAACGACGAAGAGGGTTGCAGCGAAGGGAAACGAACGAACCCGGTTTGGAAAGACAGAGAGGGGATGTAAAACAACGAGAGCTGCACTTCCCCCGGTACGTACGGGGGCGATAATTTACTAGCGTGTAGGTACGTCTGAAGGATCCGGTACGTGCTGGTCGAGTGGTCTTGCACAGTCGGGGGCGCTAAGTACGCGTCTACGGCACCCCCGCGCTACCTTTGACCCCGCCACGAGCCACCCCTAACCCAAGACGCCCTGCATCGAGCATCTTTCGACTCCTACAACTATTCCAAACTCTTTCTCTCATCACACTACACCATAACACTGACCTACAATTTTTTTTAAATGTAAATAATCCAAAATAGCGGTTCGAAAAATTTTCTCACCCCCAACAAAATTTTAACCCCATTTTTATATTACATTTATCTTTTTCTCTTGTGAAGCATGGCGTTTGAAAAGCAATCTACAATATTTTAAAACACAATCCAAAATGGAGGATTGTAAAATTATTTATTGGTCAAAAAAAAAAAAAAAAAAAAAAAAAATTCTACCTCTTTTTATGTTGAGTTTATTTATTTCCCTTATGGAGTATGGCGTTTAGCAGTGGGGGAAGCTTCTATTTACATTTGGCGAGATCTGCATTTTAATTGCAAGGGATAAAAAGATTTCTCGAACGGTTCTTACCGCGTTGTCGCGACGGTTCGCGTGTTCCGGCCGTTTTCGAAGAACCGGCGCGTGAACATCGACAAAAGTTATGCATAGTCGTCGCCGGGGACGGTCCTGAATAATGTATGCGTCTATAGAACGGCCGAGGAATGATTAACGACGCTGACCCTCTTGTAACTTCGGAAAAGTTTCCGCCAGTTTTTTGGCGCTCGATGGATACTTCGTTCCCCGTTCATTGAGCTCGAAAGGGACTCGTCTCGCGTCCATAGAAGCTTCTGAACATCGTGTAAATTACGCTAGAGACTCGAATCTTACGATATCACGTCGTTTTTTTTATGATCTATTAACGTAAACTTTACGAAATTTCTTCTATGAGATTTTTTTTTTATGTGCTAATTGTCATGGGAAAACTAGTGGATCCGACGAAACCTTCGTTGATATTTTCAACGGATTTGAAAAAGTTCGCCTCTGCTCGCGGCACCGCGAAACTTGATTTACTTTCGTTCGTTCGAGCCCAGTGCTATCCACCTCGCCATCCACCTGAAATTTGTCACCGTACCGACAGCTACGGAGCCCTCTCCTTCGTATTTCGCGTGCACGGTGCACATTCATGCGAGCCGAGGCAAGATTCATAGGCGCACCGTGAGTGCACTCGTGTCATCTCGGAGATGCGACGCAACGGCCCGAGAGCACCGTTGGTATCCTCTAATCTAACCAAACACAGTGTCATCGAGAATTTCGACGATAAACAACTGAGAAAATAATGAACCCCCGGCTGGGGAATGAAAAATTCCACGCAAAAAGTTCGTTGCAAACACGAACATGTCCACGAAAACTCCATTGCATTAATTTTTACGCCTTTGCGATGTTCCTTCCATTTATTATATTATTATTATTATTAACAAGCTTGATCTTGACCCTATTCAGTCTCTACATCTCAAATTTTTACCGACTGGTAACCTATTCATCTATTTTTTACCGACTGATTGTCTAGTAACCGCTTTCTTACCGACCGGGGACCTATTAATCTCCTTTTTACCGACCGCTAGCCCATTAATCGCAAAAAGTTCCTTGCAAACACGAACGAGCCCACGAAAACTCCATCACATTAATTTCTACTCCTTTGGGACGTTCCTTCTATTTATTATATTATTATTATTATTATCAAGCTTGATCTTGACCCTATTCAGTTTCTACATCTCAACTCTTTACCGACTGGTAACCTATTCATCTATTTTTTACCGACTGATTGTCTATTGGCCGGTTTCTTACCGACCGGTGACCTGTTAATCTCCTTTTTACCGACCGGAGGCCTATTAATCTCCCTTTTACCGACCGCTAGCCCATTAATCGCCTCTTTACCGACAGGTAGCCTATATTGACCCGCTTTTTACAGACCAATAGCCCATTAATCGCCTCTTTACCGACGGATAGCCTGTATTAATCTCCTTTTTACCGACCGCTAGCCCATTAATCGCCTCTTTACCGACGGGTAGAGCCTATTAATCGCCTTTTTACCGACCAGTGACCTATCAATCGGCTTTTTACCGACCCAGTAGAGCCTATTAGCCGAAGTTAACGCTCAACAGATTCGCCGTTCTGTTTGTCGTGTAAGCTTACGGACGATACGGTTAATACGGTTCTGGCGGAAG